TGTCGATTTGATTGGCCGTCAGGTCGTGAGGTGGATAATTTAGAGCTGAGTAATACCCTTGATGTCTGAGAATCGTTTCCTCATCTTCTGTTCCATAATTGAGTGTGGTTTCCAGATACGATTTGTAAGCGTACGTGTCTGTTTGTTCGGTGGTCAGAGTCCCATTCACGTAGATAGAAGGTTGTTTGATGATGGTGTGAAATGCGTTTGGAGCCAACCAACGTTGCGACGCATCAGCCAGATTTCCTCCATCAGTTTTTTTCAGAATCAAATCCATACGAAAATAACTTCGGCTAAAATCGATATATTCGCTGCTGCCTGGTAACACGAATTCTATAGTGGTAATACTTTCACTGGTTGGGTTGATTTCCGCGATACGGTTTCCATTGTAAGTGATGTTGGTAGGTGGTACTGTAAAAAGGTCTAAAGCACTATGTTCAACCTCTCCCGATTTGAAGTGGGCCGAGGAGGCCTCGCTGCCTCCGAACACGATGCTCATCTTTCAAGAACTGATGAGGAAACGCTCACTAAAAAGCTTTTTATACTTCTCTGCGACGTGTGGGTGATTTTTTCATGACTTTTTTTTTTCTACCTATACTTATACTTTTTCTTCATTTTCATACCCATGAGTTTAAAGAGATTTTTACCTAGGAATTTTCCTATTTGATATCCTGTTCCTAGAGTTCCAAATATCGGCACCTTGGCGGCCGAAAACTTTCCTCCTCCTCTTTGGCATCTTCGTTGACGACGATGACGACGACGACCGCTACTACGACGTCCTTACATGCCACCACCTCTTTGTCTGGCTAATCTCAGCATGTAACCTTGATTTTTAAAGGGATTGGAAGCTCTGTTAAGAGGAAGTTCGTCCATTCTTTTTTTTCCATGAAATGATCCAGCTCTTTTATATCTTTTTTAATCAACTCTATAAAAAAATTATCTGTTATAATATTCCTATTACTTCTTCTTATTATTATTTATAAGTTTCTGGCCTAAGAATTTTCCTATTTTATACGCTGGTCCTACAGCTCCAAGGATCGGTCCCATTTTTCCCAGAATCTGTCCTATCGGTAGTCCTCTTCCTTTCTGTTTCTTCTTCTTCTTCTTCTTCTTCCTATTCAGGTATACGCCTGGCATTATGGTAGAAGATCCAAGAAACGGTACCATGGACGAAGGACGTATGATTCCTCCTTTCTGTCTTTTTCTTTTTCTTCCACGTGTCATATTTTTTTTTCAGTAGGTAAAAATCTCACTGAAACGTTTTGCTGTTTTTTTTTCTCCTTTTTATACCATTCATTCCACTTTCTTTTTGGACTTTCTTTTTACGTTTCACACCCGTTAATTTACCAAAAAAAAAATCCTTGGCTTTTCTCTTTCCGTAATTTATTAGGGTTTTTCGAGCGATGGATTTGAGTACAGGTCCCACATCTCCTCTTAGAGCTGCACTCGCTATTTTTCCCATTCCACGCAATACTCCACCCAATCCACGTCCAGATTGAATTCCCGGTCTATAATATTGTAGTTTTCCACCTTGCATGCTGGGTTTAGGGTTTTTTTTTCTCTCTCTCTCTCTATACTGCCAAAAAATGATAAAATTAAATCACCACTCGTATTTATAGTCATGGGATATTTATTTTTTTAAAAAGGAATGAACTTTTACAACAAAAGTAAATTGATTTACAGAATGAGATAACTTTTTATACTTAAAACGGCTATTTACACATTTTATAGTAGGTATGACTTCTCTTAGAATAGAGTTGATCATCATTACGAGTACACGTTCTACTTGCCCGTGTGGTACCATCTTTTTTTTATCTGCGTCTGGGCTGTTTCAACTGCGTTTAACTGGTCACGGCTGTAATTTTTTTTAGAAAATAGGTCCTTTTTTTGGAATTCTTTATAAGCTTTCCACAATTCAGTCAAGTACCATCCGTTTTTCACGATCCGTCGTCCGAGTTTTCTGAATCGATGCCAATTTTTCATCAGATGTCTCTTTAAGTAAGCAGTATCCACACCCTCTTCTCTGTCGTAACAATACAGCGAAAAACATTTTTCTACTCTATCGGCAAACTTCTGGAATTCGTTTTTGTCTGCAGGCTTTCCGTGGTACATGCGAGGGGTATCGTCACCGTGCCAAATGACCTCTAGAAGGTGTAGAAATTCTTACATATCTACCGTATTCTTCACGTTCATCACCGCGCGGTACAAGTTTATCTCTCTCGTACCACTCCAGTATTGAATCTGACCGTAATGAGGTCCGTTGTGAAAGGGTTTGGCTATCTGTCCTGAAGCTCTGAGCGCAGAAAGAGGATCCATTCCCAGAATCAATCCTAAGAAACGCGACTGTCTTCCTTCCACTTTAGATTTTTCCGTAGTGGTGGTAAAATTATAAACGCGATCAGGACAAATATCGCTTTTCCAACTACAAGTATCGCTTACTTCCATGTCTAATATCCAAGAGAAAAAGAATCTTCTGCTCTTTTTTTTCACAGAGGCACACCTTCTTAAATGCGTGACCCATGGCCACTACCGCTTCTTCTAAAATTGATGGTCAAGATCGCCTGTTCATCTTTGAAATTTACTTGCGAGCCATCGGTTTCACTGATTCCCACTTCTACGCTGTCGAAGACATTTTTACGAATGGGTAAATACTGTAAACGTAACGGTTCAAATAAATATTTCCCTTTTTCGTTATTAGTGAACGAGACTTCTCTCAATAAATCTGTTTCTGTACCACCCACGATCTGAGTCTGTGTCAAATCTGTGTACACGAACAGCGTTCTCTTAGGATCCGCATAGTTGTGATATATTTTTTCATCCAAACCTGAAAAATACCAGTTGACATAAGAATAGAATCGCACGTAACGACCCACGACCATAGTCCATTGAATATCGACGATTTTCCACAGATCATCCGTGGATTTCCATAAATTCAAATTGGGATCTCTAAAATGTTCTATTCTGACGCTACTTGACAAACATGTGATTTTAGTGACATCACTTTTTGTTTTTTCTTCTATCAAGTGGAATTTTTTAGCCAACTCCAGTTCAATGTCTACGTGGTTATTAACTAGCCAGGATTTCGTCAATTCTTCCAAAGATCGACTATCTCGGTCTGGAACAGGATGCAAGTAATCGGGTCGAACACATCCTTGTATTGCACATGTTCATTGTTGATCTTCAAATCGTATCTGTTTGCATTCGACACCCATTTGAAATGAGGAAATTTCCCTTTTCCACTTTCATCTTTCCATCCTTCAAACCTCCTTCCTCGGTTATACATATACCCTGCGCCATAGTCGTAGATATCTGCCATCTCCTGGTACATTTGATTCGTGACTAAATTTATAAAACGCGACCAAATTTCATACCCGCTTCGTACGGTAGTAGGAAATACCGTACAATCTGACTTTTGCAAGTCCACCACGGCATTACACTTTGCATTATGCCAATATTGAGTAGCTCCTTTCTTGTCTAGGGCTGTTTGCCACCTATTATTTTTCCATCTTTTCACGGCTATGGGTACTCCGTCGCTGTTAGTGATCTTAGTATGTATGTTCGCGCGAACCAATATAGGTACTCGCGCATCTATAAAATCGTCCACTCGAGGCACCTTATCCGGAAAAGAAATACTAGCCAACGCTACCTCCCAATCACCTTCTGGTAGAAAAATATTTCTTGGTAGTGTGACTTTGTAATGGCCGGGATTATTTTCAGAATAAATCTGTGAACTTGCATTGCTAGGTAATGTCAGGTAGAAATTCATCTTGGTAATCACATCGTGATAAAACCAAAAGTGTGTGTTGCTTGGTAAATAAGGTTTTATTTATATACACGCTTTCTGAAACATAACGTGACTACAGTATTTTCGTTTTTATTTCCTACAAATTCAGCTTGAGTTCCATCGACTTCACTGATTCCTATTTCTACAATATCAAACATGTTTTTTCTAACAGGAATAAACTGTAAATTCTGAGGTTCGTAACTGTTCTTTATGACATTTTCATTCATAGACCCGTCGTATTCCACTTCTCTCAAAAGATCTGTTTCCGATCTACCCATAAACTGTGTCTGCACCAAATCTGTGTACACGTACAAGGGTCGATTTTATTCATTGGACTGTAATAGGCATTTCCCAGTTCGTAAAAGTACCAATTGACTGAACTTTCAAATTTCATAAATTTGGAAGTGCTACTATGTCCTTCTGCTTTAAATCCTGATTCTTTTGCATCAATGATCTCCCATAATTTAGTACCATCAAGCCAATCTAAAGTTTGGCTTATAGGATCTCTAAAATGTTCCACAGTTACATGACTAGTAAGTTCATAACCTTGATAATAAGAATCATATTTTCCATCTTGTCTAGGCATGACTAAATTAAAGGCTTTAGCTATTTCTAGATTGAGGTAGAAAGCATTTTCACGTCCAGATCTGTATGCTCCATCGATCCCACCATTGTCCATCTTCAACCTGTATGTACCACCCACGTTTTCCCATGAAAATTCTGGCCATCTGTAATGTTTTTTCTCTGAAAGCAAAGTTTTATCGTTGGTTATAATACCACTTGCTTTGATGAGTAATTTGCTGTGCAGTCTGTAAGTGAGTAAAGCAATCATTCTATTCCAAAAATCCACACCATCTTTGGAAGCTGATAGATCTTTCTCTTTTCTCCCCATTTCATACTTCATCTTACTGCCTTGGATCCAATACTCTTTTCTGGAAATGAAATCACCGTGGTGATCTTTTACACCATCCATGCTAAGATTTAATCCACACATGAAATCCAAGTCTACCAAGCTTCGGTAATCATTGCGAATACTTGAAGATAAGGCAGATGGGAATGAAATGCTCGACAAGGCCACTTCCCATTCTCTTCCCGGTAAAGAGATCGTCTTGAGAAGTTTGGCCTTGAATCTTCCTGGAGTGTTATCTCTGTAGATAGTGTGATATCCGTTACTAGGAAGCGTGAGATAAAACGTGTTCTGATTACCTTGCATGACTCATAAATCGACTATTTCCTTCGCGTCTACCCAACTGTCGTATTTGGAAGGCCAACCTTTCCATTTGACCAAAGCTTTCCCGTCTTTCCTCTTTAATACTTTTTCGATCCGGAAAAACGTGTCTTTATCACCCATATCGACTTTTTGCAACTCTTCCTCGTAAAACGTACCTTTGACAGGTATTTCATCGTATTCTTTGATCTTGTAAGATGGTACATAGGTATTTAATACTCTATCTACAATGAATATTTCTTCTGTCCAGCCTGGTAAATACCCTTTCTTAAAGGTTCTACGAACCTTGCTCAACATGACTTTATCCCCCGCTTTTAAGGTAGACTTTCTACTTTTACGGGATGCACCGAACAATTTTTTACTGGACAATTTCTTCCACACTTTTCCATCGTTATACATGGTGACATTCTTAGGTGCTACACCTGTAGCTTTGTGTACAGACGCGTTATAACCTTTGACTAAATCTGGTAAAAAATCCAGATACTTGAGAGTAGCATTGGCTGTTAAAGCTCGGTACAATCTCTGTTTGAGGGTTTTGTTAAATCTTTCTACCACAGAAGCTTTTGTATCACTTTGAGTATTAAAACGATTGATCTTTTGCTGTTTGGGATATTCTTGAAGCGATTTGTTGTAAATTTCACTTCCTTTATCCGTTTGTAGACGTAACGGCTTTCTCCCTTCTTCAAAATAGACTCAAAAGCGCGTTTTTGTTCTGCACCGGTTTTGTTCTTCATAGGAACCACCCAAGCGTATTTACTTAAAACATCTACAACCGTTAAGGGATATTTTACTCCTTTGTTGTATCCACTGAGATTTTTCATATCTGCTAAATCGGCTGCCCATTGATGATTTATACTATTAGCTACAGTTGGATTCCTTGTATAACGTATTCGTACCGGTTTATGCAAAGAGTAAATTAAATTCTTCCGCATGATACTCTTGAGTTTTTTGACAGGTACACATGTGGCTTTGTGTAATCTTTCCAATCCACCATAACTACCTGGATTCGAAAAGTCATAATACGTCTTCAATACCATCCGTTCCAACTTATTTTCTTTATCCAACTTTCTTTTCTTTCTCTTGTTCATTCCCATGACTTTTTTTTCCTCACAGTAAAATTTTAGTGCAACATCTCACCAACGCAATTAAAGCCGCCCTCGTTAACTCTTTGAATGATGGTACTTTATCAGGATGAGTATTAAATACCCAGTTTTTATGTTCTTCGAAATCTCTTCCTTTTAAATGTTCTCTCATTCCCTCCATGTGTACAATGAATACACCAAAATTCCATTCTCTCTCGGGGTTGGGGTCATTGATCAAATAATAATGGACATTACGGTTTCAAAAGCTGCAAAAATTAAACTTTTCGAGTCGCCAACGTTACAATTTTGTAAAGCGATGCGAATTATAGTCATAAAGCGAAAAACCAAACTATCGGACTTCAAGCGAGAGTTAGAGACATTATGAAGCTTCAAAAGTACGAAAAAATACCATGAATGAGTAATGAGATGTCCAAAAAGTATTGTTTCATAGAAGATATTGCGTTAAAACTTAGAACTTTTCAGTAATTTTCAATACAACGCTGCGCAATATTTCTAGGCGTGAAGTCAAGTAAACATCGAACTAAGCAAAAAAATGAATTTTATTTCGATTAGGGTTTCACAGACGATAGAAATTCATTCGTTTTTTCGGTTATAACGGAAAATCCAAAAAAAAAAATTGTTTTTCTGAATAAAAGCTTTTCTTCCGAAACGTTCCTTGCTCAGTTTTGTCTTTTTTTTTCCTCATTTATATTTTTTCATCGCGTCACATGAAATCTCTCCACGCGCTGAAAAAAATTTGCATATTCACCTTGACATCTGATCCGCATGCTTTTTTGTACACGTGCACACGTGCGTGTACATGTGCAATTTTATCGGGTTTGCTTGAATACAATGATCAGAATTCATGGAAAAAGAGTTTTGACCGTTTTAGCTTTTGTGATGGTAATTTGTGTATCTTTCCAGCTAGGTCTTATATGGAGTACCCGTTACTCCTTTTCTGACGTTGTCCGTGAACAACTAGATGTCGAAAACCACGTGCAGCCCACACAATTACGAGAACCGAAAATGAATCACACGACAACCTCTACTTCACAAACTCATTACAAATCATTTCTTATAACCAGGAGATCTTGTATGCAACATTACGATCTTCTTATCATTATCTCCTCCGCTCCAAGTAATTTCGAAAGAAGGAATAACATTCGTAAAACATGGGCATTTGAAAGATCCGCAAAACCAAGATGGACGTCAGTTTTTCTGGTCGCCCAGACATGGAATGAAACAGTTTCGAACGTGTTGTTTGACGAAGATGAAGCTCTTAAGGACCTCGTGCGAGCTAGCTATTATGACCACTACTGGAATCAAACCCGAAAGATACAAATGGGCTTCGAATGGGCAGTAACGTATTGCAATTTCTCGTTTCTTTTGAAATTGGATGACGATGTGTTCGTGCACGTTCCAAGAGTTCTCTCCTTCTTAAGCGCACCCACCACGCCGAAAAAGAAGTTTTACGCAGGGAATCACTACACAAATCCTGTTCCTTTGAGGAAAGGCAAATGGAAGGTAACTTACGAGGAATATAGCGGGACGAGATATCCAGACTTTTGCCCCGGTTTTGGATACATTTTATCTCACGATGCTGTACGTGCATTTGTTGACACTTTCTCTTCCTTGCCGTTCTTCAGACTGGACGATGTTTACGTTGGCATGCTGGCGAGTAAGAACGGAATAAATATTACAAACAATGTGGGTTTTGAACTATGGCATCCGCCCCAATATGTATGTGTTCCAACAAAGAATACTTTAGTCAGGCATGATGTAGGGGAAGAGTGCCAAATGAAAATGTTTAACTTAGCCATTTTCCCTCAGTAGTTCGATGGCGTGGTTAGCACATACGTATATTTAGATAAATTCTTCAGTGAGTAATTTTTTCCTGTGAAATATCCGTTGTTCATTTGAGTGCAGCCATTTAAAGCTATATTTGTTTTGGATGTTCGTTGCTCCAAGAGTCAGATCAGGGCATTGGATGCTACAACATTCACCGACAATCAGCCTGAGTGTCAGAGCAAGTTGTGTATCTGTCAAAATAAGCAGTAGATATCAAGAAACGGCTATCGCAGTTTATTATTTTCTGGGAAATTCTATTGAATTTTATTGCTTTCTCGTCCTGTAAAAATTGATTGCAACTTTAAATAGATTTATTTGTCCTTGAAAATACACAAAACGTGACTGTCCAGAAGCTTGTTGGATGATTTTGTAAAGTTTGAATCACTTTGTACTGATATGCTTTAGTGCCAATACAAAGTGTCATGTCTGCGAATGAGTAGCTCTTTGAGGTTAAAAACTATCAAAATGTGATGTAAGATTTAGCTCTTACCGACCTGAGAGCAATCAAGACTTTATATTCTTTCATCCAGACACATACAGGGTGAGGAAGCAAGAGACACGGAACAATTTATTTCAGAAATGTAGTTGATAAAATGAACTCTTCCATCTGGTTTTCAAGCAATCTTAAAACATTGAATCATGCATGTAACCAAAGATTACTCAACGGAACTATTCCGTTTCAAGGAAAAATAGAAACTGTCACACTGCTACAGAGGTCAAATAATTTCTAGGCTTTCAATTTTACTTTTACCTATTGAAACAGAGTTCTCATCATTACGCTCAGAAATGCTGACTAAAAACCTGGTTTTGATGTAAAAAATATGTTGGTTAGAGTATTCATGTTGTTACACATTGTCAGTTTAAAATTCATAAACTCTTATTAATTCAACTCAATTCAGTTGAGTTAATACTGTTATATTTACAGCTTGATATCGACTGCTCGCAGATAGTAACAGCTGGTCGAGGCGAGCAGCAGTTTCACGCATATTAATAAAAACTTTACAGTAACAAATTAAGGAAAAGAAATAAATATTCACTTGATAGTTATGCTCAGTAATGCTGATTTAAAACCTGGATATGATATAAAAAGATGTTGGTTAGAGTATTTCTGTTGTTAATTATTGTCTGCTTAGAATTTATAAACATATTTCCATTGTTTTATTCATTTTAGAAACCTGTCCAAAGTCACTGCTAATGTCATTAAAACGTTGAATGGACTCATGCCTGCACTTCAAAACAGAGAACGTCTTAGGGCCTAGGCCTTTCCCGATTATGCTACTAAACTGGCATTTTATGCTCTTAGAAATTCCGCTTTACGCCAAAAAAATGCTCAAATTATGCTCGATTCTCAAAATAATACTACTTTGGTAGCAGAAAATGCTTTGTTTAATTTCAAGCAAAACGTAGAAACTCAGGCATCGTCTGTATCAGCAACTGAATAACGTGAAAAGTGTTCAATTGTTTGTTATAAAACTTCTGATACAGTCAAAACTTGTCCAAAGATAAACAGTTAATTAATGTTCGAAGTTCTTAGCGCTTGTTGTACTGTGATATGACGCTGGCTTGGAGGTAGTCAACATGAGCACAATTCTGTTGCTCGTTGAGGGACGCCTTCAGTATTGAAAATACTCTTTCTGCCGTAGCAGACGATGGTTGGACAAGGAGAACTTGCTTCACTGCGGAAGCCCAACGAGGAAGTTGCTCCTCGTGCCCACACCATCATTCGACTTTCTTCTCTTCAGTTGGGATAACAACATCTTCAGCGGCAGCTAAATAGGCAGGAAGCTCGGCTTTGAGACCGTCGATGGTAGTATCACTATCCAGGAAAGGGAATGCTCTCAGAGACTCTACTAATGCATTTGTGGGCTTAAGCCACTGGATCCTAACGGGGCAGAATAGTCTGACAGCCTTGAGTACTACCACTACATCCCAAAGATCGACATTGAACTTTCTCAGAAACCACGTAATTGCCGGCTCAACACAAGCCTTCGCACTCCGTTCAAGTGCTGTTACGTTCTTCTTCCGCAATTGCAGTTGCAATTGCACGGACGTTAGGGAAACAAGAAGCTTGACAAAAAACGGCGCTTAGTTTTTCATAACAAGCAAAAATTTCCCCTTACATTAAAACATTCATGAAATTAAAACAGCAAGCGTCAGGATGGCCCACAGAATGCGACACAGAAGAAAAGAAAAGGAACTATCTCCATGAAAATCAAACACAACAAGACATCCAACTAGATCCCAACCAAATTGAAAAGAATTTGGCTTACGTTCCCTGGCTACATGTCAAACTCATGCTTAACTCTTTCTGGGGCAAATTTGGCCAACGCCCCGATCAGACACAAGTATCCAGCTGTACAAAACCAAGTGAATTTTTTCAGATCATCACAGATGATAGACAAGTGATTCAGAGAATCGAGATAGTCAATGAACATATGGTCGAAGTTTTTCACAATTTCCAAGAAAAAACCATTCCCGTTCAAACAAATGTAAATATTTTCATCGCATGCTTCACCACCTCATACGCTCGGCTCAAGCTCTATGATGCTCTTGACACATTATAAGAAAGAGTATTATACTTTGACACTGATTCAGTTATTTACACAAAGAAACCCACTCAAGCAACCATTCCCACCGGGAATTATCTCGGACAGTTTACCAATGAACTCGACGAGGAAGACCATATTGTGGAGTTCGTGGCAGCAGGACCTAAAAACTATGCTTATAACACAAAACAAGGAAAGCAAACATGCAAAGTGAGAGGATTCACACTCAACGCACGCGGGAAAAGAATCTTACATTTTAATAGCATGAAAGAGTTAGTCCTTAATGAAATACTTAAACCAGAAGATGAACCACGCACCCTTTCCCTCCATACCCCCCATAAAATCACAAGATGCACAGCCACGAAAACTCTTCATTCAGTTGCACAAGACAAGAAATATGAACTGGTGTTTGATAAACGTGTCATTGATCATGACACATATCAATCATTTCCCTATGGATATAAATGTATATCCACTTCCCAAATGTAAATCATAAAAAACTGCATCATGAACCATATTGATCTTGATCTTTATTGTTGTAAGTTCTACAACAACGATATTGAAATCAAACACAAGTATTTTCTACTTATCCCAACTCATAAAGACGATACCACATTCAGGATCATCTTTGATTAAAACGTCAATCCCTCTGCAGAAACCGTAAAACACTGGGCAAATCAACCGCAGTATCCTCATTGTGTCGTGGAAAAATTACATCAATTCCATTCTTGAATTCCTCAAAGGCTATTATCATTCTCCCTGGGACAAAGCCGTTTATACCGGATTC